TATAGTGTGTGTGTGTGTGTGTGTGTGTGTGTGTGTGTGTGTGTGTGTGTGTGTGTGTGTGTGTGTGTGTGTGTGTGTGTGTGTGTGTGTGTGTGTGTAGAGAGAAGATGGATTGAAGTTAATCATGTAGGCCATGATCGAGCAATTTATACATTTACATGCCTTAGCAGTGTTAGAAATTAAGGCTGGACCATCTGCCCGGGGCTGACAACTTTCAGAACGGGCTGAAAAGTTTTCCCACCTGGCAGACATTCAGTCCAGCTACTTTTCAAGATGGCTGGACTTTCGGTCCAGCAACTATTTTTTCCTAAGAGGCAAACACTGTGCCTTAGCATAGAAAATCTTTATTTTATTGGCTCAAATAATTGTTAGCATATTTTTATGAGCAAAATGTTGAGAAAAAAGTATGTTGATAAAATAATTTGTAGGAAATTTTGGAATTTTGAATGAATTTTAAAAGAGAGAAGATGGATTGAAGTTAATCATGCAGGCCATGATCGAGCAATTTATACATTTACATGCCTTAGCAGTGTTAGAAATTAAGGCTGGACCATCTGCCCGGGGCTGACAACTTTCAGAACGGGCTGAAAAGTTTTCCCACCTGGCAGACATTCAGTCCAGCTACTTTTCAAGATGGCTGGACTTTCGGTCCAGCAACTATTTTTTCCTAAGAGGCAAACACTGTGCCTTAGCATAGAAAATCTTTATTTTATTGGCTCAAATAATTGTTAGCATATTTTTATGAGCAAAATGTTGAGAAAAAAGTATGTTGATAAAATAATTTGTAGGAAATTTTGGAATTTTGAATGAATTTTAAAAGTTCGTTTATTTATAAGATCGAGAAGCAGTGCTTGTAGAAAAACCCCATATATATTTATTTGCTTTCTTCTCCCTCACAGGCAGAGATATTTCCAGATCAGCATCATGGTGGACGTGTTTTTTATAACATGGCTATAATGGGAGCCAAGGGGATTCCACAGGTAAAAAACTTCAAGCAGTTACTTTTGCTCTTATTGCTAGGACAAACAATTCATAACAAAGATAAATCTCCACTTGAATTTATTTTTGAATGGCGTTTTATTGCTTATATTGATATATGAAAGTTTATAAAATATTTCATTAAAAGCATTTTGTCATAAGGTTCAATACTTTAAATGCCCTTTTTATAACAAAATAAGTTTTCAGATGAAAGCTAGTTGTAGTATATGTGGATATTTTATGAGTACGTATACATGTACATATCACATAACTCCATGGTTACTATAAGCATTGATAGGTTTTAGGAATAAAGCAATGCCTTAGTTCTGCATGCAATTTCCTGACCACTATAAAACACATGAATTTTTTTTAGGCAAATTATTTTTTGGCATTTAGATCTGAGCATATTATTATATTTTCTTTCTTAACCTTCCTCTCCAGATAGCTGTAGTATGTGGTAGCTGTACAGCAGGAGGTGCTTACATTCCTACCATGTCAGACCAGACTGTGATAGTACAGAAGATTGGACATATCTTCCTGGGTGGTCCGCCCCTAGTGCATGCTGCCACAGGGGAGGTGGTCACTACAGAGGAACTGGGTGGAGCAGAATTACACTCCAGGTAAAAGAAAGCATTCTGATGGAAATTGATCTGTGTAGTAATGTTACACATAATGATGAGCTTCCATTGGGACAAAACTTTTACAGGTTTGCTTTCAGTTTGTGTAGGAATTGAATAGTTCAAAATTTCATTATTATGAAAACAGAATCAACAAACGAAAAAAAAGTAATAATTACATTGGCTGATTTGATTGACCAAGTGAGGCATTTGTTGTAGACAGCTGGAATGTTCTGTAGCCCTTATGATTTTCTTGATTCATGAAGATATAATGCTTTTGTGTCTAAAAAGAGATATTGGTTTTATTATAATGATATAAAGAAAAAATTAACAACGGTTTTCTATTTGTAACTCAAAATCATTGGGTCATTGTCAAAATTTTAGTGGAAATGCCTTAAATGAAAACAAGACTCTAGATGAATTAAAGATGATGCTAATATGTGGAAATTGTAAAATGATTTTTATGTAGAATATTATTTCTATCAGCGTTCCACATGGCAATTAACCTATGAGATGGGTGAAAATTTTGCCAATGTTCTTAATTTTAAAATACTTGATGTATTATTTTGCCCCCCCCAACCTTAAGTCTTTAATAATTAATCATGTAATAAGTTGAAGTATTTTATTCCAGTGTAAGTGGCTGCACAGACTACTTTGCCCACACAGAAGAGGAGGGTCTGGAGTATGGCAGGGACATAGTAGCAAGCCTAAACATCCCAGACAGACTTGGACACTCCAGTTATGAAGAGCCACAGTTCAGCCCTGAGGAGCTGCCAGGCCTGGTACCATCAGATCTCTCAAAGTCTCTAGACATCACTAAGGTAATGGCTGGGTGGTTTGATTCATCTGTCATTTGGTGGATTGATAGGGTTGAAATTTTCATAACAGAACATCCTTTATCCTTTGTATGCCTATTGTGATGTTTCCTTCCAAAGTTACAGTAGGTCACCCTGAGCTTCAGAGCTAACTTGACACTAACCTTTTCACTGTAGCCTATCTCCATCGTGTCAAGTAACCTCTGACGAAAATAGTTTGACCTATTTTATATAAGCCAATCGAATCCATGTTTCAAAATTTTTCACCAAAGTTTGGTGAAAACGCTGATTGGTTGATCGTCAATCGGCAATCCTCGGCTGATTCCGCAAGCTCCATACTAACAACATAGTTATTGTCGAGTGCGGAGACATCCGAGTAGTTCCGAGTGGTTCCGAGTGCATAACCGTACACAAAGAAAGCATGGAGTATATCGGAATTGAAACCAGAGCAGTATGATGCCCTGCATCATTATCTACTGAGGGATGATGTATTTTGCGTGCTGCCCACAGGTTACGGCAAGTCCCTGATATTCAGCCTTATCTTTGATTGGTCCGGATTTGAACAAAGCGCGCTTTGACTCGTTCGCGTTCATTGGCTAGATCGTTCAATGAGTCATTGAGTGCGGGCTTTAAATTTGATTGGCGGGCGGCGGGGGCACTCGAATCTGGTCAGAGGTTACTTGACACGATGGAGATAGGCTACAGTGAAAAGGTTAGTGTCAAGTTAGCTCTGAAGCTCAGGGTGCAGTTTGTAGACTTCCTAACTTTGTGAGTTAGGTTCTTATTTTGTTGTTTCATGTCCTATATTAAAATTCATGAAGTCATGTGAAAACCCCTTAAATAGTGCTCTCTGAAAAACAAAACAGTTTACAAAATATATATTAATATGAAGAGCATTTGAATTACAGATTCTGGCTAGAATTGTGGATGGAAGCAGATTTCATGAATTCAAAGCTAAATTTGGCTGCTCTTTGAAGACAGGGTTTTCTCACATACATGGGTACTGTCATTTAAAATGCATGTTTCTTACAATTATATTAACAAAAAAGCAAACTTTTTGAAATACACTAGTGTACAATTTTTATAACCATCTTTTTTTTAGTTGTAGTGTAAAATGGTATATCTACTTTATAACTAAATTTTATTTCATTTGTAATAAATAAGAACATGACAAAAACTTCTCTAATATTTTATGGAAATCCTACTACATTATTTCTTAAATACAATTTTCAGGCATTTGGTTGGAATTGTTGCAAATGATGGTCCACTTAGTGAGCAAGAAGCAGCAAAAGGGGCACACTTTGTTCGTATGTGTGATGAAAGGAAAATCCCATTGATTTTCTTCCAAGATACAGGATCTGGGGATTTCAGTTCAGAAACAAATATAGGTCAGTGAAATTTAAACTCATGATATGACATTCCTATGAACTAACTTCAAGGCTCATTCCCATTGAAACTTTCAGTCTACATAGAGTGATCCAACTCCGTGGGGACTCTCCGTGAATGCAATCAGTTTAACAGATTAACATGTCTTTTCTTGGCATTATGTAGACTACCAAAGAGCTGGTTATTTCAAGAGTATTTTGGAAACAAAAGGAGGCATGTTAAATTGATTGTATTCAGTCCCCCTGGAGTTGGATTGATCTATGTAGACTGATAGTTTCAATGGGGTTGAGCAATTAAAAACCCAACAGAAATTAGCCATCTTATGCTGAATGGTTCTGAGGTTGAAATAGTCAGACATTTCAAATTTCTTTGCATACATATAAATGGCACATTAACATAGATGATATTGTCTGTAAAGCTCAGCAAAGACTTTAATTTCTACGGCGATTGAGGTTGTTCTATGTTAACCAAGAACTGCTGGCAAAATTTTACCGGGCGGTGATTGAGAGTGTACTAACACAATCTTTCACCGTCTGGTACGGTAGTGCTACAGCAGAGGACAAGAATCGCCTCAATGGCGTAGTAAAAACTGTCAGGCGCATTGTAGGTAGGGACTTGCCGTCTATTGAATGTTTGTATACGAGACGAGTGCTCAAGAAAGTGAAGTCAATCACGGGAGACCCTAGTCACCCAGCGAATAGCCTACTTATGCATATGTCAACAAGCCGACTACAGTCATTAAAAGCAACCTCCACGCGCACTAAAAATAGTTTTTATCCATCAGCAGTACGTATTTTTAATGAACAAAATGTATTTTAATAATTCCACTGTATTACATTTTATCGACAGACCATACCAATTTTCATTTTATACTTGTATAAATATGACAATGAATTATTATTAAATATTAAATTAAATTAGATATTCTTGTGCCCACAAAGGTAAACATAACAGTTTTGGAAAAAAATTGAGTAAGTGCTTGTCTAGACGAATTTAGATTCTTAAACTTATAATAGCACTTGTTAAAAAAAAACTGCATTTCATATGTGTTTT